AAGAATTTGGTGGTGGAGAAAAGAAAGCCGTGAGGCCCAGGAAGATGCTGATGATATTGTTGACTAGAGGAGTTGTTGGAGAGAAGGTATGGATGGACTGGAGGCATAGATGATTAAATCATCAATGTAAAGTGATGATCAGGTCCCTGGTGGTAAGACTGATATAATGTTGTTCACAGCTATAAGAAATATGGTAGTGCTGAGAACACTGCCTTGTGGAACACCTTTGATCTGAGGGTAAGAGGATGAAGTGAAGCAATTTTGACTTTGAAGGTGCAATTGGAGAAGAAAGATTTTATAAAGGCCCCCATGTTTCCGCATATGCCAAGAGAGGACAGTTGTTGTAGGATATGATACCGCCATGTGGTATCACATGCTTTCTTTAGGTCAAAGAATATTGCTATGGTGGATTCATGGCGTGCAAATGCGGATAATATATGTCTCAAAATGAGCAAGGGAGTCTGCTGTGCTTTTGGTATGACAGAATCTAAACTGTGAAGAACAGAGAAGGTTATTTGATTCTGGGTAACATATTAGTCGTGAGTTTACCATTCGCTCTAGTAGCTTACATTAGCAGCTTGTTAAAGCGATGGGATGGTAATCTTGTGGATGGGTACCGGATTTGTTTGGTTTTAAGAAAGGGAGAACAAGGGCTTCATTCCAGTGGAGGGAAATATCTCGTCATTAAAATTTGGTTATAAATCTTGAAGAGAAAGGATAAAGAGGATGATGGGAGATTTAGTGTATACTGTTCGGGCCTTCATGGGTATTACGGCATGATCGTAAGGCAGTGTATAATTCTAAGGAGGAAAAAGGAGAATTGTATGGTTCATCTGAAGAGAGGGAAAATGTGATAGGAGTTCGTTCTTTGACGATTTTAATGAAAGTGAAATGTGGAGAAAGATGAGAGCCGCTACTAACTTGGCTGAAATAATCATCCAATTTATTAGCGACTTGGAAAGGATCTGATATGTATTTCTGATATAGAGGACTGGGGCTTGATGGGGAGGGTGTTTGCCTGATATTTTGTGAACATGTCGCCAGATAGCTGATACAGATGTTTTGAATGTGATTGAGGAGAGGTATGTTTTCCAGCTCATTATTTTACTATTTCATATTGTACATCGGAGATGGGCTGACGCTTTCTTAAAGGATATGAGAGCAGATAGTTGGTAGGGGGTGTCTCGTTTACATCTGTAGCTATTCCATGCTACGTGTTTTTGGCGGAGCGCCTTAGTACATTCTGAGTTCCATCATGGAACGCATATAGATGTATAAGGTCTAGCGGTTTGGGGAATGGCTGTGTAGGCAGCTCTTAAGGGGACCATCTGTTTCTTTGTTTTTCTTTTTTCACTTTTCAATTTTTCTTGCCAATTTTGATGAAAATCACACCCTTCCATTTAGACCCCTTCCAATTGCCTGTGGTCAATTTTTTTTTTCTTCAAAATCAGCCAAATAGTTTTTGAATTGTAAAAAAAAAAAAAAAAAAAAAATGAAAATGCAGCATGGGGGGCAAACTCTCACATCATCAAAAACAATAAGACATTCAATTTCATTTGAATTTTGCACAGAACTACCCTATAGCTACAATTTGTTCAACAGGGTTTTTTCGACTTCATATTTTGGGGGTGAATTTTTGAAGTAGGACACTTCAAGAAAAAAGAAAAAGGTACAAATTTTCTTACACTGACCACTTTTACAAGAAGCACAGACAAAAATTGCAAAAACATTCTCATACAAGTTGTAGATATTCTATTTTTCTACAAAATGAGCCATAATATGATAATTTTGGACATAAATTGTGCCCGTGAGGATTTGCCCCCTCCCCCCAAAGGTGGTTTACCGAGATATCGACATTCTGGTTTCCTCATCTTTTCGAGATTATTTTTATATTAACAAAACGAGGTATAAGAGTAAGTTTAATGTTTGAAAATAAATGTGCTAGACATCAGAGGTCATATAGCACTATGGTAAAGTATTGCGTCGGAAAGGGCAAAGGAGAGTTAAAGATTATGATAAAATTTGTTAGATGTCAAAGGTTTAAGAACGTTATAGGATAATATGGTAGTGAAAAGGGGGATAGGGGGAGCAAGTGAACTAGAGCAGAAATTAGTATAAAGGGGAGGGTAGGGCGATTGAGTGAATTATAGTGTATCTGTCACTGGGGAAGGTATAGGAAAAATGTTCAAGGAAGAATAGAGATAGCTGTTGAAGAGTAAGAAAAATCCGGGAAGGGGATGGTGTTAAATATCAAAGATTAGAGGGTGTTACAGGAAAGTATGGTAATGAAAAGGGGAAAGGAGGGAAGTAAATGAAGTAGAGCAGTGATTAATAAATGGGAAAGGTTAAGGAGGTAGATTGATTAAATGTATTGTATCTGTGACTGGGGAAGGAATAGGGATAATAGGTGATAATGTTATATATGGTTGTATTAGTAGTAGGGGATTAGGTATCTGGGGGTTGAGACAAAGGATCAGGAATAGGTGAAGGAGTAGTGTCTGGGGTTCTGATAGGGACAGTGGGGTCTGGGGAAGGATATTGTGATAAAAGAGATTCACGTGTATATCCAGGAGGGAGTGGGAGGGATAGTAGGGAAGGATGGGGTTTTGGGGGGAGGTTCAGTTTGGGTGGTATGGGCGGTTTGGGTGGTTGAGAGGATGAGGCATTTTGGGAAGGGGTTGGGGGAACATAAGGGGCAGAGCAAGTGAGTGAATTGCAGTGTATCTGTGACTGGGGAAGGAGTAGGGACACTGATCAAGGAAAACAGAGGTGGCTGTTGGAGAACTAGGAGGAGAAGAATCCAGGGGTTGAGAAAGAGAGACTGGGGAAGGTGGTGAAGCACTAGGAAAAATGTTTGGAGAGGAGGGGTCTGGAGAAGGACACTGTTGTGATAGAGAGGATTCGTGTGAGTATTCAAGTGGTAGAGAGGGTGGGGTATGTTAGGGGAGGGGTGGAGGGAACTTGGGAAGGAGGAGGATGAATATCTGCAAATACTTTAAATGTAGCAGGAGTAGGAACAGAGGGATTGGTGGGTGGATGAGGGAGCGGAGTGTTCCCTTGGGTCATCTTTAGGAAGTTTCGGATGTCTTCAAGGGTTTCTGAAGGGGAATTTGGTATAGAGGACTGAGAAACAAAGGTTCTCTTATAAGGAGGAGAAGAGGAGATGGATATCTGAGGAACAGATGAAGAGGAAGGTGTAGGAGAGAATGTAGTAGGAAAGTGTGGAGCGGAACGTTTAGGTTGTCTGGTACGACAACTAAAGTGAGGAGGAGGGGTAGGTATCCGGGAAGTGGTAGAGATTGGAGTATCTGGATTTAGGATGGAAAATGGATTTGACTGGTGGATAGGGTGAGTAGACATAGGACATAGGTTTTGGGTATTGGGAGAAGATACCTGGGGAGATGCAGAAATATCTTGTGTAGATGGTGAGGGAACAGAGCGCAGGATTGTCTTGGAACAAGTTCAGAGAGAAAAACCTTGTCGTTGTGCTCCCTGTCTGGCCTGTCATAGAGTGATGCCTAGTTTAAACCTGAGGACTGCTACCTCATATTAAAACTTATAGGCAGGGCAGTTTAGCTGGGTGGCCAAAACACCAACATTTTTGACATTGACGAGGAAGGGGTTGATATTGTCGGACATGATAAGACAATCCACCAATATAATCTTCGTGGGGGAGGTCTTGTCTATGGAAGCTAATCTTGGCAATATTGACATGAGATTTATGTTGGCCTCTAGGAGGAAGAGTGTAACACTGTACTGCCACTGTATCATATTCATCAAGGCAAGAAAGTAATTCATTTTCACAGCCTGACCAGTCAATAAGGATGAATAGTAGTAATAAGGGAAGAGGGTTGTGCAGCAGGAGATGAAGAGGAGAATGTTGGAGATGAGGAAGAGGTGCTTTCTAGTGGTTGAGTAATAACCTGGGTTGGTGTTTCGGAATGGTTAGAGTTGTTCGTAAGCGTCGAAGAGGGGGTATTAGCATCAGTGGTCATAGCTGTGGTCAAAGGAGGGGCAGGGGTTGGAAAACCATCAAAATCAAATTTAGACAGGTTATTTGATGAAAGGGCAAGCCTTAATGCCTCTATTAAGGGTAAAGAATCTTCATTACTGGCCATGGTGAGCCTGAATAAACCGGGGAAAAGAAATGGTATACAAAGTAATATCAAAATTGATATTAAGCATTTGGGAGAAAAGACAGCCATAGAACTAGGGAGAGGGAAGAAAGAGGTTCCAGCTGGAGTAAGGCAGGGGATGGTGACATCTAAATGTTTTCTAACTTTTCTTGCAGTTACCTATAACCCAAGTAAGCAGTCTAGGTTTGGCCAAAAGGTGTACAAGCTGTGGAAACATTGTTCAGGGTTTACGTTACACCTGCCCCTATTGGGTGTACATTAGCCAGGAGAAAGGTGACTTTCCTGCATCCAAGATGGCAATCAAGGAAAAGGGTACATACTAATAATGTAATCTCAGCATACGCTTTCAAATACTTGTAGTCTGTGTATGAATAACGAGACTACAGTGAGGTGCTCAAGTAATTTTATGCTGCATGGTGAAGCTTTGTATGCTATGGTCCATGGTTGCTGTTTTCTCCTGGTCTGAGCTAGAAAGGATCAAGTCCAAGGAAGTAGTTGGCTATAATGTGAGGATAAAGGGAGTACAAGTTACTGACCAATTGGCTACGTCTTATCAGCCCACTTGCAAGTCCATCTAGTGGCACAAAAATATACTGTTATACTTTCTTGAGATGGTAATCATCAATTGTCATGCAGTGTACAAGCTCACATTTAATGGCTGAGCTTGCTCATGAGCTACTGCAGAAACAAACCTATGGCTGAGTCAGAGACATCTTTCAACTCATTCCATACAGTCACCATCAGGCCACTTCCTGGCTTCTTACATATAGGTAAAATGGCTGAGATGCAAATATATTCCCAAAATGTGGGACTACCTGGTGTATGTCCTACTCACTATTCCTAGGTTAACATTCTATAACTCACCTGTATATTTTCCTCAATGCGTGATTTTGTAACAGACTTGGGAATAACAATCACATCACGTTGAATCTGCAATAACAGATGTAGCAATCAAATCAATTTTAACTAATATGAAACTAATTTGTTGCAATAATATAACAAAGTAAATCATCGTAATCAAATACGTAAGTTTTGCATTTAGTAGAACATACGGCTGAAAACATATCATAATCTTATCTTACTAATGTAATATCCTAACATATTTTCCCAAATCCAAGAAAAAATACACATCAAATGAAATCAAAGACACTACAAATATATATATAATGAAAGTACAACTATATTTCCCAGCATATTCTTTGTCTCCAAATAGTCTTACATTCAGATAATAAAAATAATTCTGTAATAACTTCATCTCAATACATTATTCCTATAACATTTACACTGTAAGCAAACTATAATCAATGGCAAACCTGATAGCGAATGAGAATTTGAGCAGGAGTCTTCTTGTACTTCTCAGCAATTCCAACTATCCTAGGATCATCCATAAGCAAAGGATCATCAGGCTTAGCCCAAGGTCTGAAATAAATCAAATTGTACTTGATGACAATCATGGATTTAGCATAAATATATTATACATCATAAGTTGTACTTCCGAAACCGATCTTTAAAGATACAAATGATATACTGGAAGGTGGAACTGAGAATGAAATGATATACTGGAAGGTGGAACTGAGAATGGAATGTTATACTGGAAGGTGGAACTGAGAATGGAATGTTATACTGG